CCACTACTACTACTACTACTGCTACTACTACTACTACTGCTACTACTACAACAACAACAACTACTACAACTACTACTACTACTGCTACTACTACTACTACTACTACTACTACTACTACTGTTACTACTACTATTACTAGTACTACTACTACTACTGCTGCTGCTACTGCTACTGCTACTGCTACTGCTACTGCTACTGCTACCACTGCTACTACTACTATCACTACTACTACTACTACTACTATTCTTATTATTATTACTACTAAGAGAAACAAGTAACACGTCGGCACGCCCAACAACGCTCGGAACAAAGGATCAGACTCAGCCCGGTCGAATTCTTAAGTTAAACCCAAACTTGCCTAAACATATGTAAGCACATTGCATGCCCGATTTCTGCCTCCCCGTGCCAATCACCACGAGAAAGTGGGTGATGTCGTGCTTGTTACAGAGCGGCCACGCCCTACGATTTTTAGCAAAAAATGTGGTCAACAAACGGAACGTGTAGCTGTAGCCTGCGGTAGCATTTTGATACCTTTAAAATCTGACGGTTTGGATTGGCTGCACCTGGGGGCCTCCGCGTGAAAAGTCTGGAATAGTAACCTGGATCATTTTAGGCTTCTCCGCCTGGTTCATTTGATTCCTCGACTTTCTTTGCGTATGGTTATATTTCAAATGATGTTTTTGGATATCATATTTTTTTGTAGTTGCAGTTTGGTTACGTATAGTTTGGATATGTGTTCGTGGCAGTGACTGTTGCCTCTTCATTTGGTAGAAGAAAACAAATTTCAAAGTTTCAGGGGTCCTGTTGGGCCATATGGGCTGCTCCAAATTGGTAAGCTATATAGTTACAGTGGTACTAAAATGGAAAAAGGAACATTGAAAATCACATATGTTCCATCAAATAAATTCTATTCGGAACCCGCCCTCTAAAAAATATAAAGGATTAAAGGTTTGGAATGGTCCAACCAGCAATGGGCTTATTATGGTGGGGGGGGGCTTTGGATCGGTACGCCTGTATCCCCTTGTGTCATCGTACGCCCTTTGGGTTTTTGTGCGTATCTTTATCCAAATATTGGTCTCTTTATTGGTTTTGCTGAAATTGACATATACGATGGCCGCCTTCACCAAACGTTACAAACGACTGGCGCCCCAGATGCGTATGGCATTCAAGAAACGAATCAAACAAACATAGCATTAACATTTTTTTTAAATCGGTTTTGCCGCAGCGATTGGTAGACATGATCACTTCTTCAGCCAACATTTTTGTGATAAAAACAAGAAGGGAAGAGACACACCATATCTTGAACTGACAAGAAGTCACATTCGCAGAGTATTTTTTTTCCATTTTTGGGTTGCAAAAAAAAGGTCTTTGCACGACCCATGTGTGTGTACGTAAATGATTTTTAATTTGGAACGCGCAAAATCCTATCAATGGTATGACAGCAAGAGGAACGACATTTTGGCTGATGGATTGAGGCTCAAGTATTTTCACGCACTGATGCTACAAACGCTAGAGCGAAACGTTGTGTTCATACCTGGCAGCCTCAAATTACCTTCGCTTGTGGTAATGCTGGTATCATACGCATGTGAACATGTGTGTATAGTAAGGTGTTCTTCTTTTGTGCGAGCGGGATTTTGATTGGTGTTCCAGCGAGTTGATTTGTTCCATCGTATTTTTCGTTCCCGATAAACGAAAGTCGGCTGGACTGACAAAAACTAGGGCAGATATGGATGCGGTGGCTGTCTTATTTTTTTTTCGCGCACCTTTTTCACGCATGGTTCAGAGCCCCCCAAAACACTTTAGTGGTTGGCAGACTGTTTTTGTACTGGCCAGTCTCCAGATATGCTCAATCCAATTATGGGGTATTGGGGGGAAGACGGCTGGGCCCGGCGAAGTCCAAAGGGCCGTGGCCAAGCAGGTTGCTAATGGATGGTAAATTGCTGGCTATGTTGGTGCGTGATGTAGAATCCAAGCCCTGCAGGGATGCTGCGTAGGCTGAAGAGGCCGCGTGGCATAGAAGGGCCGACCACCGATGGAGTAAGGCAGCGGACACTGCCTGTCGGAGAAGGGCAGGGGCTTGCCTCAAAATCATTCTATAAACCATTTGTTTTATAGAATGCAGTCAGCCACAGTCTAGTGCACATTCACGGGGGGTGCCATCTCAGAGAATGAGGTCGTTCGAAGTCGAACTATCATAAAAAAATGCTGAGCATTGGGATGCTGACGTTGCCACGGCGCTGACAGTTGGACCATGGGACATGCTTCGTGGTGTGTACACTGAGACGAAGCTGGCTAAACCACCTGGGAATCCTTTTGTCCCTTTTGCATGTACCAGATGGTGGCTTTGAGCCAGAGTATGATGAAGATGAGAAAGCGGTGTGGAAGTATGCCAAGGAAAACCCCATGGAGGGTGTGCCTGAACTTAGAGCAGTGGCAGCAAAATTTTGTGGGACATTTTGACGTTTCTGGGCGTAGAAACACTTCACTTGGGTTTTAAAGCTTGGATCTCAACATTAGATCCATATGAAGGGCTCAGAGCCACTTGCGACCACGACCATGTGCATGGACTTTGGGTCGTATCTTGGCAGGCTGGCTCTAGGGTATTTGACACAGCGTCAAAGCCACATGAATATGTGCATTTGCTGGCTCGGCGGGCTACTGAATGCTTGGCGCGATATTTTATAGCCAAGGCCTTTCCGTAGCTAGACTTTTACAGTTGCACGATAAGTCAGTAGCAACCAATCTAGCAACAACCACTGAAGGGACCAAACGGTTCCGTCCTCACTTTCCTTGATGTTTCGACGCCCTCCGCAATGTCATCTTTCAAAACAATTTTTTGAATCTTTTGGTTTGAAGACAAGTAGTTGTAGCGCACCAGGTATTATAAAGGGAAGGCACCTACTTCCGAAGCCTACGATAGGTTCCGATCAGCCCTGGATGTGCGCGGAATTGTTGAGGAACTTGAACTTTATGACGAGGACGAGCTGGAGTGTGGTTTGGCAGAAGAATCTTGGGGTGGGGAGCGATGTGAATCACAATTGCAGGTCAGAAGATTGAAATGTCAAAAGTTGAAAAGAAAAACAATTGATTTTCCAATGAAGGTGCTGGTGCTCCGACTGTGACTGTAAATGAGTTGGCGTGGCTAGATCAAGAAACTATGCATGCAGAGTTGGGGCGCCTGAGGAGCCTTGATGTCATTGATGACATGGGAGAAGAGCTGGTGGTGGAAGAGTGCATGAAGCTGGACAGCAGGTTGGTGAGAGACTGGATGGAGCCTCCGTGAGAATCAATGGAAGCGTCCATCAACGCTGGTAACCAGAAAATTTCGCGATGGTGATGCCAGCAACTACGCAACTTTCAGTCCAACTGCGCAGCTGGCAGTGGCCAGTTCTCATCGGAGTTACTCTTTGGGCACTACGTTCTGGTGAAGTTGAAAGTTGCAAAAGATTTTGGGTGTTGAACCGATGTTTGCCATGGCAACGTGTGGCAGCTTTTGAATGGAACAAATTCTTCACCGAAATCTGCGACAGGCACAACTTTGAGAGTTTCCAAGGAACCATTTCCAGGCACAAAAAACTGATGGCTGTTATTTCAACACGCAGTGATGATTTGCTGATTGTGGGTTCCAAGAACTTCATCAACAACCCGTACAACGAACAACCCAAGGAATTGAAATTGAAAATTGAAGGACCTCTTCAACCAGGATATGATGGCAGTATTTTCTACTTGAAGACAGAGCTGCAGTTCAACGAAAATGGCATTGATGTTCCCCGGGCGCAAGGTACATTCCCAAACTGGGTGAATGGTTCAAAGCGCATGACCGACATGGTCGTACGGCTCCACATCATGGACGTTTGCAAATGTTTAACCCTGAAGCAACTGCAGAAGATCAGTGCCTCAATGCAGAGGATGCCAAATTTTTCCGGTTTGCCTTCGGGATTTGCATCTATGTGAGCCAGGAACGTTATGACATACAACATTCGGTGCGAGCTCTGGGAACCCGCATAGCCGAACCCACCAAGACTGCAATGGGAGCTGTCAAGAAACTGACAAGCTGTTTGGAACTTCAAAAGTGCCGCTCTGAATTCCAATGCGTTTCATCAGGAATTCACGACGTTCTTTGGACAAAACTTTGGTGCTGAGGTCGGCTGGATTTTCCTTCGTGGAAATGCGGTCGATGTAGAACCACTGTTTTTTCATAGTTTCTTGGGTCTATAGCATTTTATTTTCCCAGGCCAAGACGCGAAAAGAATACCTGACACTGGTAGAATCGAAACAGCTGCGTCATGACATGTTCCTGGTTCCCAAGGCCACCTTTGTCACCCACAGGAAACTGCAACACCTGCTTGACATAGATGGCTTCTGTCAGCAAACTCGTAGCCGCCAAAATCTCACCTCCCATGGATTTCCAAAAACACTGAGATCTGTGATCGCGAATGGCTGTGGACCAGGCAGGAGTTCAGCAAGATAAACCCTGAACTTGTGCTTCTCCTGCTCACCTTGCATGAAACCCAAACGCTGTCACTGAAAAGTTCCAACATGTACGGCTTTGCATCACGCCGTTCTTCTCCACCATACCTGGATGGTGATGAAGCAACCCATGGCAGAAGGAAACAATTGGTGAAGTTGTTGGTCAACATGATCATGGCGACTAACCTACAAGGTTGTGACGTTGGAAAGCGTGGTTCCAAAACTTTGTCATGGGGTTGGATGCCTGCGATGGTGGCAACCTTTTTCCTTGTGATGCTGGTGGTGCGACTTTTCCTGAAGTTGACATCAAAAATGGAAAAACTTGCACAGCACAATTAAATTTGGAAAACACAGTGAGAAACACATCTTCACAGAGATGATGGTCCTTAGTGGTGGAGCGTTTTCTGAAGAAGATGCAAATAAGAAATGCAACACAATGGTGATGGAAATAGCTCTTTCAGAAACGCCACTGAATGGCATGACAACCTTTCTGGTGGAAGAAGCAAATCGATATGAAAAAAATTATCATGATGAGACATCGTATTGCCAGGAATGATGCGGAGCATGGTGCTGCAGATGAAGAACCAGAAGGTGACAGTGGAAGTGGTGGTGAAGTTCCTCGAGATGAACAACCGGATGATGATGACGAAAGCATTGAAGAAGAAATTGTAACACCCAGGCAGAAGTACCATTGCTATTTGCAGTCTGCCATGGAAAAGGTGAGCGATGTGGAGGACTGGAAGTGACCATCAAGAAGATGATGATACATCAAGATCAAGGTCAAGGGGTTCCAACAACAGTGAACCCAGGCAAAGACAATGGCCAAACCACTTGCAGAACAGGTTGCAAGACGCGTGGCAATGGACACTGCATTGGACATGGCTGAGGCGATTGAAAACAGTTGAGCTGTTACCTCATCGTCTATGGAGCCTCCAAGTGCGGGAGTTGTCAATGATTCCAACTACCTTCCGAGCAGTGTTCCTGTGGCCAATTTTTTCAACATCATGCCCGTTCCTCGAGAACCTTTGGCGTTGGATGACCATCGATGGGATTTACTTGGACAAGGATCCCTGCTGCCCTGCGCGACCTGGTGTGCGCGGCCAATGGCTAACACCGTCTCTTGACTGATTTCGAATCCTGGGAGTGGCTCTCGGCACCGGTGCCTTTTTGGCCTCGCACACCAGCTCCCGCAGCGCCGCAGCCGGCAAGCTCTTGGATGCCATTGCCCAATTGGAAGGCCCCCAGGTTGGCGTGCGGTTACTCTGTCACAGTGCTACTTTCAGCCGACTGGTGCACAGCATGCGGTGTGCGCCCCCTACGGCGCAGCAGGCTGCTTGGACTACATTTGACAGCAAGGTGCACGAGTGCTTGGTCCAGCTCACTGGGCTCCCCCTTGGTCAGACATCGCTCCAGCAAGCTGCGCGTGGGCTCTCTTGGGCTGGCTTGGGCTTGCGTTCCACTGCTCGACACGCTGCTGGTGCTTACCTGGGTGGGTGCTTGATTGGAGGCTTGGACCCTCTCTTCAGCTCGCACCTTGTAGCCGACCTGGACGGGGCGCTCCAACTTTACAATGGGGCCAGCGGCCGGGTCCTCACTAAGGATGCAGCCCTCGCATTGACGCAGAAACAATTGTCGCACCAGTTCGACTCTGCTTCATGGGACTCGCAGTTTAGCATTGCAAGTGTGGCTGGCCGGGCAATTTTGCTGTCGGAAACCGAGCCTGGCGCTCGCGCTTTCCTGAACGCTGTGCCGCATGGGCGCACCCGCATGGAGGGACCCCATCTTCCTTGACGAGCTTCGCCGGCGCTTGGGTGTGCCAGACGCTGCCAGGGACACCTGGTGCCCACGCTGCAATGGCATTCTAGATGCTCATTCGCACCATGCTGGTATGTGCTTGGCGGGCGGCGGCCGCACTCGTCGTCACCATGCTGCCCGGGGGCTGGTTGCTGCTTGGGCAACCTGTGCCGGACTGGCGCCTGAGCTCGAGAAGGCGGAACTGCTTCTCCCACAATGGCCGGACGACGCAAGGCTTGCACTCCGGCGGCCCGCTGATGTTTATACCTTCCCGCTTTTGAGGGCGCCCCAACTGCGCTTGTCCTGGCCATCACTGGCCGCTTGCGGTTGGAGTTGCTCGCGGAAACTGGACGGCATGCCTTGGCAGCTGCAGGTGTCTACGGCCACCTCAAGAAGTCGCACTTGAACACGGGCCAACTGTGCACTGCACAAGGGGTACCATTCCGGCCCATGGTGGCGGAGTCAACAGGTGCTTGGGACTCTGAGGCTTCACAAATCCTGCAGCTCATCGCTCGCGGTGTCTCTGCCCGAGAAGGCTGGCACCCTGCCGCCACCCAAGCCACTCTTCTCGAAGAGCTTTCGGTCGCCATCCGCACCTGCCATGGGCAGTGCTCAGTCGCCGGGCTATTTTGGCTGCTGCAACCATGGATGCCGCCGAAGCAGAGCTGGCCCTTGCCGCAGATCAGTGAGAACTCCATGACATCCCTTTCTGAGCCAGATCTATGCTAGCTTGCCCGTGTGCTTCCATGTGCCCTGCTCTGGGCTGGTCTTGTGTTTGGCAGTGTGTCCTCCTTCACCGACACTGGTTGGTTGCTACCCTGCCGTTTTTGTTTGCAAGGGATACGATCTCTCTTGCTTCTCTTTGTTGTCTTGAAAGATCTCTTGTTACGAAATCACTTATAAAAGTGATTTTAAGTGGATGTTCACCATAAGGACAAGGAATTGGTCCAGAGAATTGGGCCGTGATCAATTACAGACACTTTTCCAGATTGATTCCTTTGATGGAGAGCCATATGGAACGCCAACAAAATTTACGTCTTCTACAACATCTTAAAAACCTTTCGGCCATGTTTCAATCAGGCAAACCTGAACGATGTGCAGAGGCAGCAGAACCAAATTCGAGCATGGGCCAATCACGATGGCAGAGATGACTATTTCGAAAAAAACAGAAACCGATGCTGGTGATTCGATTTATGATGATGATAGTGATGATAATGATGATGATGATGATGACGACGACGACGACGACATTGTGTCCCAACCTGGAGGAGATCGAGATAATAAAAAAAACTAGAAGAGCTGACACGAGCTCTCCGGTGCCAATACAAATGAAAACATGCTGTGTAAAGATTAAAGCCGGTGAAAACAGCAGACTGTAGAGGTGGGGTGTCAAATCTTAGCATGTAGTACGACACCTTTCATATCGGCATGTGCACAGATGTTCCAACCTCCTGCAGTGGCCCTGCCGGCAGTGGAAAAGGGCGACTCCATGTTTTGACGAAATAACAATATATAATGTTTCTTGACGCTTCTTTCCGTCGCGAACCTTGGCCACCTGCCCCCCCTATTTTTCATGCAGTTCATAAAATAGGATGCAGCGAGGGGAGGGTGTATGTACACGGAATGCAGGGTGATCGTGCACATATCCATACAATATCATCAATATCATCGTCCAAACAGCGTGAGAAGATGTTGGAATATCAAACTGCGCATTTTTTTGCTTACCCGGAGTGATCTTAAAGTGGCTACTACTAAGAAATTTGCCACTGGCAGCTTCCACCAACTGTCAGTGCCCAGCCCAGACCCAAGGGAACAAGAGCAGATAGTTCATGAACCGTTCTGAACCGTTCAGGGTTTTATTTGCCAGTTACGTAGGTCCGGAACCGTCCATTACCCCTCCGCCTTTTACCTGGAAAACCAAGAGGCCTCAACGACCATTCAAAACAAATGTCGCAACCCTTTTGATCATCGCACCATACTAGTACATCGTTTGATTTTTTGTGCTGACCAACCATGACAAACGTGAAACCCAAATGTAAACCACTGGTAAAGAACCTGCCGCCATCCAGCACTAGTTTTTGAAGCTATGGCGATGAATGCGGGTGGTTGTTTGGTTCTTGTTTGTTGCATGGACGTTTTATTGCGATATGATTCGGGCTGCAAACGGTTGAAAATGTCACAACATATGTATAATTACCGTACATACTCCCCAAGGAAATTATCGCCGCAGGGTATGCACTGCAATGAGTCGATTTGTTTCTAATCACGGCATTGGGTCAGTTTGAAGCATGTTCTTTTTAGTTCATGACCCTTGCCCTGAGTTTCTTGCTATTCATATTCAAGGCCGTAGATGCTACAGACTGTCCGTGCGGCGTTGCGGTCACATTGGTTTGCGGCCGGCTATTGATATTTTTTTTGGTTGGAAAAACGTTAGGCTATGTGCCCCTTCCCCGTACGCAGGAAGAAACACAACAATTGCTGCACACTCCAAGTTGCCTCCCGGAATTTTGGTTCGTAACCGAGCGCGTCTTCTCACATACCCTCTGGGCGTCCCCCTCTTTGCCCCCAGGGCGTGTTTACACAGAGTGCGGTCAATGAAGCAGGTCCCCAACAGACATTGCGCACTTTTCACATTGATTTGCCTCAAAGCATGCGGTTTGTGACAGATGAATTGAATAGCCCCCAGAAAGTCGTTTGCTTCCCCAGTATAGTTACATACCACCAGGGTGTCCCCAGAGTATAATACAAGGTGGCTTTTGCAGAACCATGGTATATCCACGGCAACACTTTACATACCCCAGCCCACCCCAGGATTTAGTTACATGCAGGACGGCCAATGACATGTGTTACACTTCACACTTTACACTCTGCACTTTACACTCTGCACTTTACACTCTGCACTCCAAACTTTACACTATACACTCCACACTTTACACTTTTTACTTGACACACTCCACACTTCACACTTTAAAATGCACACTTTACACACTTTACACTCCACACTTTGCACTCCACACTCTGCATTCTGCAGTCCGCACTTCACACTTTACACTCCACACTTTACACTCTAAACTTTACACTTTGCACTTCACACTTGACACTTTACACTCCTCCACACTCCACACTTTACACCTTTCATTTTACACTTTGCACCCCGCACTCCGCAATCCCCACTTCACGCTCTACACACTACATTCCCCACCCGACAATGCATTTTCTTCACATTCCACACTTAGCACTCCACCCCCTTCCACATTCGACAGTCTACAGTGCACTGGTACAGTCACAGGGGAAAAATGGTAAATTGCACAGGGCTGTTCAAAGACTTGTTTCACAAAAATGTTTTGCGTGACCGCATTCGGGTTTTTTGTTTTCTCTGGTTTTTCTTTACGGATCATTTCTTGGACTTGCTCATACTTGCTCAATGCATGTGATGTAGTTGGTTTATATATTGATTTTTGTTTGGGATTTGGCGCATTTGCCTTTCAACGGTTTGTCTTATATATTGATTTTCTACTTGAGCTGTTAATGTCTCGCCCGCTCTACCTTCGTGGTACTGATTTACCATGTTTTGTTGTGTCGTAGTTGTTTCAAATTGCGGAACAGCATGGTGGCCCTTCACCGTACCCTGCCTTCGCACCCAACCCAGTCATCGTTTTCATGGTTTGCCTATTTCCACCTGACGTTTCCTTCATATGTGACAGACATGGTTAACGTACAAATTTTGTTACAATTTGTGTCACAATTTGTGTCAACCGCATGGAGGGGTGAAAATAGATACAAATGACTCGTTTACATGAAAAAAACGTCGCCGCTATCATACATTTTCATCGTCGCCTTTATCATTAGAACCTCAGGGCTGGGGCGCCACGGTGCCAGGCTACCCACAAGCAAGTGGCCATCGCGTTCCCCTGAGCGGCAATTGTGTGGCATTTAACTTGCATGTGTGTTGACACCAAGGGCGCCGAGAGCATAAAAATGTTGCAAGGGATGTTTCGTTTCAATTAGAACATTTTTTGAAAATAACGCCTGGAAGATTGTGTGCGCACTGTTGGTCCCCAGATCTTTTTTGACGAAATTGTATTGTAACAGTTCCACAGATATGATGTATGGTTTGTTCGCCACCCCAGCACGTACGCATTGTTTTTTTCCCAGTTGTTCAACACGCATTTTTTGGACGTATGCCAAGATGGATTTGGTTCATGTGCTGTCTTCATTTCCCATAAGAATTTGAGAACGTAACAATATTTGGTGTCACCGCACATAATACAAACATTATAATTTTTTCCTCTGTTTCCATTGTTGCCTCTTCCTTGGGGCAACGTGGGAATTCTTTGCCGTAAAGCAGCGGCTGTGTAGAGATATGTAGCCGTGGAACTCAAACTCGGCAAACTTGTTTCTCCAGGTCTGCTCCGCGGGGAGGAACTGTTGGCATGGATTAGGTTGGTGCGTATTCAATATAAATCTTCTTTCTTTAAGGGAATTGGACGGAATCTCTCTACATTGTCAGGGCCAGCAAGTTGACAACATATGATCAGGTTTCAAGCGGAGTTGCGCTGCAGCATATATGGCCATGTGCATCTCGAGGGACGCTTCTTGCAGCAATCAGGTAAGGTAATTTCTCAGTTTTGAGATGCAATCAGTGAAGCAGATTACTTTGCAGTTGTGTTGGATAAGGGTGTTCATCCGTGCGCCTGCGAGCTGTCGCCAGTGGTAGTGTATTTCCGTGTGTTTCGTGCCCGCGTCACCGAGCAACCTTTGGAGCAGAGGGTTTGCTGAATGGCTAAATGATCATTTGATTATACCACATTTTTGATGCCGTAGGAGGTGTTGCATGGCTGCAAGCTGCCAGTTGAACGTGGTGACAACAAAACCATTACCATTGCGTCGCAAACTTGCGCGAAATCTTTGAATATGACAACTTATCATCATTTATCTGTGGCCACACGTTGCTGTAAATGATTGGCGCTTTGATATGTGATGATCCTACTTTGGAATCAAACACTGCGGCAGCCATGGCTCATGATGCCATTTGTTTCACCAAATTCGGTGCATGCTTTTTGGAAGCTCGCGCGCCGCATCTTCAACAAATGCCCGGGCGCGGCACTTACCACCTTTGGATTGCAACCGAAAAATGTTGCGTTCGGACCGGGGCTTTGGCACACTCATCACTCATGGGTGATGGGACATAGATGAACACAACGGGCGTGGAAACACCATTGTGAACGACTAGATGTGGAAACATGCTCAAATTGTTCATAGGTTGGCGGTGCTGAACTTTGATGCTACTTCGGACTTGTTGCGTTTTTTTTTCCCCTCTCTGTCTTCAGCACAAAATCAGGCTGGGGTGAAGACACCAACCACTGGATTCTTTAAATCAGTTCTGAACCATTTTGATGGGAACAATCCCCTAGTATTAAATATGATGCACCATGCGCCCAAAATGATGACCACGGCCTGGGAATGGTTTCTGGTGTAGGTTTATATCAAGGGGAAGGGATACTTTATGATCTTGTTACCGAGACATTGCAAATGCACATGCGTGCGCGGCGCATTGTGGAGCAGCAAAGCATTGTTTGAAATTCTTGATTCATTGAATTATGCTTCGTTCATATCCAATCAGTTCATGAACCAAGAGCATTTTTCGAAATACCATCTGGTTATGACGAACATAGCCATGGAAAATCACCATTTTTAATCGGTAAACCGGTAAACCATCTATAAATGGGCCATTTCCCATGGCCATGTTAAATAACCAGAGGGTACATGTCCCCAGCGGCATCTTCAACGGTTGAAACCATGAGCACTTGAATTTCCCTGCGCGTTGCGAAGGATCTGGTCCAGATCGTGCAGCTCACGGCCAAGCGACTGCGAGCCAGGCCATGCCAGAAGCGACCGCGCCGGAATGATGGTTTAACAACGATATATCTGGTTGGTTAATGGTGATTAATGATGGTTAATCATGGATAATAGTGGTTAATGATGTTGGTTAATGGTGATGAGGAAAACTGGTTGGTGGTTTCAAACATGGCTGGGTTATTTCCCATTATATGGGATGTCATCTTTCCCATTGACGAACTCATATTTTTCAAGATGGTTATTGCACCACCAACCAGATATCCACAGTATCTCAATACAGTTTTGCTTCAAATTAGCGAAGTATCACAATGCATCCAAATGGGTCCTAAGTCTAAACAACTAAAAACCCTGAAGTGCAGGCAATCAATTTGTGGTACCAAAGGAGTTTCCAATTTTTGTCTGGGATGATTTGTTCATACCTTCTGGATGGAAACCAAGGATTGAAACTCCTTGCGGCCACAGGATGATGAGCGCCTCAGGGCCTCTATCGCTGGGAAACTCAGCAGAAACCGAGGAACGGATCCTTCTATGGAGTCAGGTGATCCTTCTATGGACGAAATCACGATGCATCAACAAACCGACCTGTATATTTGTTGGAAAAATTGAAAAATAACATGACATAAATACATAAATGCACACAAACAAATGGATAACCAAACACATAAATGAATAAACATACACATGCAAGATGTATAGACTAGAGCAATTGAAACATCCGTAGAACGACAAAGTGTAATGGCAGATTGCATCGGCTCGAACCACGCCACGCCACAAAAGTCGCGACGTCGTTCCTGCGTCATGGCAGGTGCCCCCGGGCAGGCGCGGGTGGTGCTGAAAGGTCACCAAGGGGTTGGCCAAATGGCAAGTTTGACATAGAAAATGAATGAAAATGATTGGTTGGTGGTTTGGAAATGTTTGGAACATGGCTGGATTATGACTTTCCCATCATCTTAGGAACAATAATCCCAATTGACGAACTCATATTTTTCAGGGGTCGGTATACCACCAACCAGATGATGATGAACCAATGAATCAATGAACCATTGACTTTTGAGGTACCCCATCAGACAAAACATGACAAACCCATTGTGAAGTGCGACGATCGCGATTCGTGGCATTTTAGCGTTTTTTTCCTGATAATTGGCCAACAGTATTGGGTATGTTGGGCAAGTTGTGCAAGGCCTCGAAAATCTTCGGCCTGGTGGCGACTGGAACGATGGCGGCGGGTGCCTTCGCTGACTTCAGTTGTGATTTCAGCCGCGTTTCAAAAATTTATTGCTTGTATGTGGTATTTTTGTGCAGTGACTGCAGTGAATGTCGAAATCATTTCTTAAAACTTTGACTGGAAGGTAGAAACATGTAGAAACGCATCGTCTTGTTGCTGCGTATGAACCGCAACGATAGGAGGAGAAGGATGATGATGATGACGACTGCGACGATGGTGATTCATAATGATGATCCATCCTCAGCCCTCAGCTTCGGTTTCAGCAGGATCATCATCACGGTCCCGGCCCTTATTTTCCTCGCAGCTGGCTGAGGATTTTACTGGTTCGCCAAGCCCCGCTTTGAAGCAATGTTGCAGCCACCACCGAAGCCTTTGAAACGGTTGCAGCTGGTTGGAGAGCAGTGGCATGTTTTGGACTCAACCCTTCAGCACCCCTGAACAAATTTCCTGAAATTGAACAGCTAGAAGTCTTTTGGATGGACATCCACGGGAGATGAATGATGGCCTAATGATGGCTATATGGGCAAAAAGTATCGATTTTGGGATGCCGGAGGCTCAATGGGATGGGTCTGACGGTCTGACCATTACAAAGATGATCAACTGCCGTTTGCCAATCCGAGTGAACATTTTTTTTGACAGGGGCGTTTTCCCATGAACTACATCATGTAATACCCTGGCCTTGTGGGTGGTTATGCGGTTATGCAGTTTTTTTTTTGCCTGACCCGGCAGTTTTGAGGTATCTAGAGGAGGATTTTTCGGCCAGCTCCAGCTTTAGCGGGCTGCGACCTGGCTGGGTCTTCAAGCTAGATCATCGAGGTGTCCTGGATGGCCGTGGGAGTGCAACTGTCATGGTCACAGTGATATAGTGGATGGGCCAGCGAAATAAGAATCACCAGTTGAAAACGGTGGTTTATCCCTGTTTATCCCATTGTGCATAGGGTTTCAACCATCCTTTTGGTGGTGCAGGATCTCGCAACCATCCACAGTAGACGACGTGATGTCGATTTCCTATGAGTTCCCCCACATCACCTCTATCAAACTTACCTCCATCAAACGTACCTATATCATCCTATATCAAATCTACCTCTACTAACCTCTGTCAATCCTATCTCCATCAAACTTGCCTCTATCAAGCTTACCTCTATCAAATTTACCTTTATCAAAATGATCTCCATCAGACTAACCTCTGTCAAAGTTTTCTCTGGCAAACTTCTATCTAAAAACTCATCTCTTTCCAACTCGCCCCTATCAAACCGATCCCTGCCAAAATTTGGATCAATTTTACCTCTATAAAGATCCTACCGATCCTACTATCCTTTCTGTCCTGCCTACCTCATCTCTTCTATCTACCATACCTATCTACATACATCTACCATACCTATCTACATCTACAATCTTTTTCCTATCGTCCTATCCGCCTCTCTATCCTATTTCCTATCCAGCCGTCTCTTAATGTGTTTCTTTGTCATCCGTATCTCCATCTGACACTTCTTCCGTTCAGTCGAGGTTTCCAACAACCTGCTACTTCACCCAACTTTGAAAATCGTCCCCTTTTTCCTGACAACAGGAGGGCTTAGCATGTGTCGTTTCATTTTGGTGTACCTGCCATGGCAGCTACAGAAACCCCAACACCAATTGCTAAGCTGATGGCGTGGGTGGGGGCCTCCCTTCTCTGGAGTTCTAACAGTATGTCAAAGGATGCGTGGAAATGGAGGTCGCACCAAACAAAATAGTTGGAACAAGCCAGCAAAAAACTGGATCGATTCTAGCCAACAAGTTACCTTTTCACAGTACTTGACTAAAGATTGCACTTTTTCAGGGACAGGAAATCAGAAAAGCACCAGTAAGGTGAACGTCATTTCCCATGGTTTTTCAGCACAAAAACCCGTGAGACGCAGTTTCCTCCTTGAGGCTTGGGTTACTACAGGGACGTACCTCCAGAGTGAATTGGTCATCGACTCCTTCCTGTGACATCGGCGGGGCGCTTCAAATTTCTTGGAGGTGAAATGAGGTGAACGACCTGGGCGCTGCAAGGGAAAGATCAGGAGAGTGTCGACACATGCTGATGATTTTGCTAAAAGAAATGGTTAATAATGGTGATTAGCCACTATCAACATCTATTAACCACTGTTAAGAATCATTCCTGGCGCTGTTCCATTCAACATCCGAGTCCACTTGGACCCGGTGAAGAACCAGGATACCTTCCGTGAGAGATGCGCGATGGACGACGGATGAGCTGGATGTGTGGCCGGTGAAGCGGGGAACATAAAAAAGGTTTTGCGCTGGGGTCATCGGGGGTCTGTTGTCATTTTGGATTTGACCAAGAAACCAAAATGGCTATATAATGCTATATATTTAGATTGAACATTGATGATCAACCATATTTTCAAATATAGGGTTTAGGGGTGATGGCAGCACCTGTATGTGGAAAGTTGCTACACGAAATTGCTGCCAGTTCTCACTAATCATATCCAAAATGTCGCACACTCAGTCCAAGATTCAGTCCAGTCGAAGAAAAATCTGGTGATCATTTTGTGTTTTTTGGAATTTAAGTGCACTTAACCGTTCAAACCGCAGCAATTCTTCCGCTGTGTTTCACAGAGCCGCCATTGATTTCTGGCCATCCGTTTCCACAGCGGCAGCGAGGCCCAGTTCTTTCTATGAACCCTTGTGTGAAATGACTTGGCGGGTGTGGCCCCTCAGTGTATGACTTGGGAAGGCACAACACACTGCACACCACAGCCTTGGTTTCCAGGTGTACTTTCTTTCTGCTCAAAAATGAGAAATAGCCATGAACATGATTCTGGTAGTTTTGTCAATGCCCACTATATAGGATTTTCAACGATGTATTCAAACATATCCGCACCTATCTAGACTGCATAGTGTTGCATTACAAAATTGTACTTTACTTTTTATAACAGAACATGCGCACACACAGGGACACCCGCATATTATGTATGTATATATACATATGTCAAAGGGAACACAGCGGTAGCACATGAAACAGTTGATACTGTTACGGCCCTTTGTGGCTCAAGCGCCCGCAAGAGGAAAACGGCCGCGCGCTGACTGCAATGCCTGGGTAAGGTTCGGTAACAACCAGCACATTAGGTACTACCATTCGACTATATCCGGAACAAGGATAAGATTGTTCACAGGTTATCAGCCGTAAGGGCTCACTTCTCCCGTCGGGAGAGTGGTACCTGCGTGCTGGTAGCCGGGCCTTCTGAGCAATTGATTGAGGACGCAAAGGACCAATCAGCTCATCATCGCAAAGATGCAAGGCGGCAGCGGAGATTCGCGCACCACGCAGTTTACCTTCAATGAGAACACTGCTATGCCGGTCGAGGAGGTCAACCAATCTTCCCCTGGCGACACGGCAGACAGTGGTGGGATACGCCCTACCCGAACTACACAGTCCGGATGGCAAGTTACATCAAACAGACGAAGAATATCCACCCAAAGTACACCAAGATCTTCTCGAAACAGTGCTCGAAGTGATGTTGTCCGTCAAGGGCATCGACCATCTCGAGGACGAACTACCCCAAGGGACAGATCCACCAGGGCCGTAACCGACCGAATTGGTGAGAGGACCGGGGATAGTCGTGTTAAGAGGAGATCAACGGATACTTCTGTGGCTAGTGAACCTATTGCCATGATAGAAGAACTACGGGCACAATGTCAATCCCTACGTAATCAGTTGAACCACATGGAAGCATACGCTGCATCTAGAGATCAACTGATTCATGACATCGAGATCAGATTCACTGAGTATCTTCAGGAACACAACCAGAATGTATTTGATGAGGTCAATGCACTCAATCATAGATTGTCATGTTCCGCAAATGAGGTTGCAGAATATCAAGCAGAACTAATGGTAGCATCTCAGGAAGACGAAGGTGCAACAATACGCATCCAAGACCTTGAACGCCGAGGTGCCCTAATGGAACATGGTGCACGACGGATCCATCAACGTGGTATGGAGATCCAGGAAGAGTACAAGGATGAAGTACATCACCTTCAAGGACTATTGGGTAATACGGAGGCAAGACTGCAACAACTTCATCAAACCAATGTCTTAACCACCGATATTGCCAATCGTCTATACAACGAAGGTCAAGAAATGCAGACAGATTTCCAGAACTCAATCATGGAATATCGTAATCGATCCGAAATGGCATCCTTCTCTAGCAACCAACTTGAAGTGATTAGCCAACAACAATCAATTGCAGTTCATGAATTATCTGAGCGGAATCAGCTATTGAGTGAAGCTTTAGTTCAGTCTCGTAAACAGGCCGAGCTGTATGAAAGCAGTATCGACGAGATCACTAGAGAATCTAGAAAGAAGGTTTTCGAGGCAAATCAGGCCAAATTGGAAAGTGATCTGAAGCATCGAAATACTGAACATGATACTGTCAGAAGAATTGCATCATACAGGAACCAAGAGGCCGAAGCGATATCACACTTGAGGCTTGAATCACAGGCTAGTGCAAACACAATCGCAAGGGCAGAGCATTATGAAGAGCTCTATACCAACGAGCGGGAGATGAACTGCGAATTAAAGGATGAGATCAAGTTGCAGAACACGAAGTTGCGGAGATCGTTGACTCAGGGTACTACGACCGACGGTCGTGGCCCCGATGAGATGCTTGTTGAAGATCTACGTAATCAAGCCAAAATCGCTCAAATCAGGGTTCAAGATCTAGATCATGAAGTTCATGAATGTTTACAAGAGAACATGTTGTTAAAAGAGAGATTGACTGAAGTTGCGGATGTAGGGGCGTCGTCCCTCACCAATGCTGAGGTCCGAACTTTAAGGTCTGAACTAGAGAGTGAGCGCAAAATGAAGTTGGCTAGTGGTGTTCAACAATATGAGAGATCATGTATGTTCATGGGGGAAATTCAGGATAGGGATGAAAAGATCGGTATCAAGAATTCTGAGATTGTTGACATGAAACGTCACTTAGATGAACTGAGAAAGAGTCTCAAGGATTCTGAAACATCTATATCTAGGGTCAGCCCTGATACACTTCCCTATTCGGCAGGCATCCCCAACTATGATCTCGCATCAAGACTGGTCATCGACAAACTGGAGAATGATGTGAGTGAGGCTAACTCTGAGAACGCTATTCTGAAATCTTGGGTTTCGCAGATCGACAGGGAGCTGACTTATGAGACGAATATGGCTCATTCCTATCGTGGACATGCTGGACCTTCTCAACAACAGCCTTCTCAATCGAACAAAAGAATCACTGATCTGCTGAAAGAGGTTGACAACAAGATCGCCGATGGAACTGAGAGGGACTATTACAAACCACCGAGTGGATGGGGCGGTCCGCCTGACCCTGATGGACCTCCTGACCCTTTCGGGCCTAACGGTCCAGGACCACCTCCAGAACCTCCTGGTTTGCCTTCAGTTCGAGGATCACAACGCGATTCAGCAGATGATGTCTCCACAGCGGCTTACACGGCAGAAGAAGTACCGAGAATGTCAAGACGGGAGGCTGACAAAGTCTATGTTAGCCCATGGCCGAAGCAGCAGAATCTTGGGGTTTGGCAATCAGATCTCATCAAGAGTGTTGTTCTTGCTGCAAATGATGGGGACAAAGCTGCATGGGAAACATGGCTACAGCCGGCTATTCGACCAAATCCTGACATTGAGCTATTGAATGACAGTGGAGGGCAACGATACCAGTCAATCGACGCCAAGTTGTCAATTGCATTGTCAAACGTGATAGCCCAAGCCGGTGATGTTGCTCGTCATGTAGCGATCAAGCTGAGATTGAGAACACAGAGTCATAGCCGAAGAGGAACCTACGTTATGGGACGAGAAATCTTGGCTATGATCCTGGAACACTTCAGAACCCCAGGTCAACGAGAGACAGCCTTCACCATGGAGCACATCGTATCGATGAAATATCTCGGTGACTCAAACCTGGAAGTGTTCTATGAGAAATGGATGGAGATGGTATCAAACATGATGCCGGATGATGTACCTCCTGATGATTGGCTTCGTGATGCTCTATACAAGAAGATTCGAAATTCGAGTCTTATGATGTTTGACATCAAGCAGTACGAGTCATGGATTGAAGGGGATCAAAGACGAAACTATCGCTATCTATTGGACGTCATCGAAAGACACATCTCCAGAATCAGAGAGGACAAGCATGTGGCCGCTAGAGAGAAGTACGCAAGAGACTTTGCAGGTGGCGGCAAACCTTCAGCCCCTGCCCCAAATCCAACTGCTGCTGCGCCAGATGCAAATCCAAAAGCGAAGCCTAAAGCTACTCCCAAGGAGAAGGCAGCACCCAAGGCGAAGGCCAAGGCCGATGCAGCTCCAGTTCTACCATCACCTCAGCCTAAACAGCATGCAAAAGGGAAAGGAAAAGGTCAAGGGAAAGGAAAGGAACGAGCAAACAGCCGAAGTACCAGCCCCAGATCCAAGAAGAAGATCCCATGCCATTTCCATTTCATCAAGAAATCATGCAGGAAAGGCAAAGATTGTGAATATAGTCATGATCAGAAGGTGTTCGATGCGAACAAGAACGCAAAAGGGAATGGTCGGAAGCCAGGAACTCCAAGAAGTCAATCTCCGGCAAACAAGACCAAGAAGGTTGACGAGCCATGCTGGCATTGGGCTAAGGGCAAGTGTCGGTATGGAGACAAATGCAACAAACGCCACGATCCTCATCTATTCAATACTGCTCCGAACACCGAAGCACCAGGCTCAAAGGCTACTCCTGCACTTATCCATGATTGGAGCGATGACGAAGAGACGTTCCATAAGGTTGCATCGAACGTGGTCAAGAAGAAGGTCAGATTTGATGAGTCTGAGGCTCACGTTCAAACTTACGTAAAGAAGGACTTCGTGAAGTGCAGCCGGAAGTCCCAAACAATCTCCAAAGGTCATGGTAAAGTTGGTAAGCCCACTGATCAGATAAGGAAAGATGAACAATGGTCTTATTCATGCAGGTTAGCGTCGAGCCGAGGGAAAGCAATGGCTATTCTAATCGATGAGAAGGGTGAATACAGTGACATTGATGAAGTCCTGGTCATCGTCGGCCCTAGCATGGACATTCTGATCAGACTCGACATCGAGGACGGTGAGGTGTCCAGGGAAGTTTTTGTGGAAAACTATGTTCAGCATATTGAAGGTCGATATGGTAAAAGGGGCAACACAATGTGTATCACTGTTCCTGTTGAGGAGAGAGACAAGAGATTCATATTGGATTCTGGAAGTGGTCATGATCTCATTTCATCCACACGAATAAGT